CCCGGAGCTTGCCCAAACTCATGTCCATCGAGTTGCTGATGCCATCCAACCATCATCCTCTGTCGTCCCCTTCTCCCGCCTTCAATCTTTCCCAGCATCAGGGTCTTTTACAGTGAGTCAGTTCTACGCATCAGGTGGCCAGAGTATTGGAGTTTGAGCTTCAGCATCAGTCCTTCCAATGAACACCCAGGACTGATCTCCTTTAGGATGGACTGGTTGGATCTCCTTGCAGTTCAAGGGACCCTCAAGAGCCTTCTCCAACACCACAGTTCAAAAGCATCAGTCTTTCGGTGCTCAGCTTTCTTTATAGTCCAGCTCTCACATTCGTACATGACTATTGGAAAAACCATAGCTTGATGAATGTACTTAATGCCACTGAATTGTACACTTGAAAATGGCTACAGTAGTACATTTTGAGTTATATGTGTTTTACCTCTATTGAAAGTGGGGGAGTGAGTGCCTGGCTGATGGCCTAGGAGATGGATGATGTAGGCGCAAATCTCTTCTCTCCCGCCTCCCTCTTCTCCGGTAAAGAGAGAAAGCTCGGGGCTTTCTTCTGAAGGAGGGACTTGCACCCTGGTTGGCGCTCATTGTAGAACAGACAAATGAGCCCGACCCAAGTGATACCCCAGGAACAGGTCTCTCTGGGGGAAGAGACACAGAATGAGGGGGTCAGCAAAGGGGCATCACGACTGTCCAGTCACCATTGTAGGTCGCTAGGCTCCGTGCCCTGGGTCGCCCTGTGGGACCACAGAGAAGGCGCCTCAGCTTTATCTGAGAGACCGAGAGGGAGGGTTTGTCCCCGTCCAGGGCTACCGCGGCGGCTGTCAGCTCCTCCCGCTCCGAGGTGCCCCGTGTCCGAGGAGCCCTGGGTGGCTGAGGGGACTTGCTGTCAGGCTGCGCGGGAGACCCTGTCTGGGCCACAGTGATTGGTGTGGGAGGCGGTCTCCAAAACCAGCGACCAGCGTGGGGTCTGCTCCTTTTCCCTCTGGGCACCAGGATTCTCCAGGGTGGGAATGTCTCAAGCCCCCCCCACCCCTTTCCTCAGTGAGCCAGCAGGGGGTGATTTCTGCCCCCTGCCTCCCTCCCGGGACGATGGTGTGGCCCTGTGACAGACCTGTGAAAGCCTGGGAGCCCCAGGAGGGCAGGGCGGACCGGCCGTGTGGGCGGAGCCAGCTGTGTAGGCCGGGCAGGGCACTCGGTCCTCCTGGAAACATTCCTGTCTAGTTCCTACAGAGCCCAGCCCTCTGCCCGCACCTGAGACGGGAGCCAGAAGCCCGTGATAAGATCTGAAGTTCTTCGAGGAATCATGGGCGCGGCCTCAGACACTGGCCTTTTCTGCAGGCGGCTCCTTTTCAGCCTTCTCTGGGCACCGACCTTATCACCCTATCCTGCCGAGGCCGGCCGCCTGCCCAGGGCTGTGTGTGAGCGAGGCACGGGGCCCAGCCCTCTCAAGCCTGCAGCCCAGTGGAGGTTAGGACACACACACACACACACACACACACAGCGCTGAAGAATTCACTGGGCTTTGCAAGGGCGGTGGTAAAAGGAGTGGGAGATTTCCTGAGGGCCTGAGCAGGCTGCCAGGAGGTGGGATGATAAAGCCCAGGAAGCTCAGCTCCATGCTCTGTGATGACCTAAATGGCTGGGATGGCAGGGGCGAGGGTGGGGGTGAGAGGAAGGTCCAAAAGGGCAGGGATAGTATACATATACCTGATTTTGGGCTTCCCAGGTGGCGCTAGTGGTAAAGGACTCCCCCTTGCCAATGCAGGAGATGTAAGACGTGCAGGTTTGATCCCTGGGTGAGGAAGATCCCCAGGAAAAGAACATGGCAACCCACCCCAGTATTCTTGCCTGGACAATCCCATGGACAGAGGAGCCTGGTGGGCTACACTAGTCCATGGGGTCATGCAGAGTTGGACACGACTTAGCACACATGCATACCTGATTCACTTTGTTGTATAGTAGAAACTAACACAATGTTGTAAAGCAATTAGATTCCATTAAAATAAAAAAGAGGGAGTGAGGTGTAGGTGGACCTGTAGCTCTGCTGTGTGTTCCTGGGCAAGTGACTTAACCTCCCTGAACCCTAGTTTTCTCTTTTTGTATCAATTGGATAGAGTTACCGTGAGGGGTAAGTGGATGAAGGTCTATGGAGTGCTGAGGAGGATGCTGGCCCAGGCTACATGTGCAGATACATTAGCAGCTCCTGTTATTAATAGGGGTTGTTGTATTCATGCCCCTAGGCTGAGACTGGGTGAATCCTTTGCCCACTCGCCACTGTTAAAGTCGGGGATTGGGCTAGTTGGTACTGACCTCTAAGGTTCTAGCCCCTCGTGAGTATAAGGACCCCTAGACTGGGCAGGTGGAAGGAAGGGGAAATTGACTTTGGGTGAGGGATACAGTGTGAGCAAAAGCACAGAGGCAGAAAGAGTGTCCCATGTTAGTGGTTTATTGCCACAAACTTAATGGCTTGGAATGATGCCTGTTTATCATCTCACAGGGCTGGAAGTAAGAAGCCCCTCTCGGTATAGCAGGAAGCTGAAATCAGGGTGTCGGTCAGGCTGGGTTCTGTCTGGATGCTCTGGGAGACAAAACCTGCCCCTAAGTTCAGGGCTTGTTGAATTTACTTCTTGCTGTTGCAGGCCGGAAGCACTTTTCCTGATCAGTCATCGACCAGGGGTGGCTCTCAGCCTCTAGAGGCTGCCCACGATCCCTGCACACATTCCTTCTCCTTCAGGCAGGCAACTCGGTTTCTCCCTCCAGCCTTGGATGTAAGGGGCTCATGTGATTGGGTCAGGCCCTGCTGAATACTCTGTCTCTCTTCAGATCTGCTGACTTGGAGTTTAATTACATTTACAGAATCCTCTCCCAGGAGTTCCTAGGTTAATGTTTGATTGAGTAACTGGGAGAAAGTGTATGCTCAGGGTCCTCTTGAGTTCTGAAGCCTGCCACACTTGACTTGCATCCAAGACAAAAAGCAGAGTGGCCAGGGGGCGGGAGGCAGCTGTCTGAGCGGTGGGGTTGGTGGTAGGAAGGATGTAAGACCACTCTGGGCCTTGAATGGCAGGTGGAGGAAGTGGCCCTTGCACCACCAGGCACACTTATTTCAATCTGAGCAAAATGCCTGCAGACGCACCGCCACCTAGGCCTCCACCCCTGGGTCCCCCGACTCTGAAGAGAGCACCCAAGCCTGAAACCACAGGCTTCTCCCTCTGGGGCAGGTGGACACACCCACGAGCCCCCAGGTCACTGAGCTGAAGCCCAGCGTGTACCCCCTGTAGCTGGTCTGGGGTCCAAGGGAGCCTGGGTCTCGTGCAGCAGCCAAAAGCCAAAACCTGAAGCAGGAAGTCAGCTGGAGAATGTGGGCCCGCCGGGGCAGTTCTTCCTCCCCACGGTCAACAAAGCCTCCGGGGAGCCTGGGGAGGGTTTGGGGGAGTCAGCCTTCATGGTCTTGCAGCATTTCTGGAACCCCTCGGGCCGCTTCTTGTCCTGTTTTGGATTCATTACGATTAAAAACTCAACAAAGCTTAAGTATTGGTGAATAACTGTGTCCTTAAAAAGCTCTCAGTAATCCAAGATTTTGAATTTCAAGTGTTCTTTTAAACATACTAGGAAGTTGTCTTTATTACCCACAACACGTTCGAGGTGCCGAAAGCCCTTTGTGGTCTCAGAGCCTCGCGCATAGTTACTTGGGTCTTTGTGTATCTAAGGGTGGTGATTTGGTAGAAGACTCTTGTTCTAGTTCTGATGGTGAAGCCATGTGCTTTCTCTGCTTTTTCTACTCAGCGGACTCCCCCTGGAAAGCCCTGATTTTCGGACAGTGGAAGGGACGCCAGACCAGCTTTAAAGCCCCTTCCTGTCGGGAGCAGGGGTGGCGGGTGTCCCTTGTGGGAGGGGACCTAGTGGTAAGAATGGTTCTAGCTTTCTCAACTTCCAGGTGGGCTGCGGGGAGCTTTGAGGGCAAGAGTGGACAATGGAGGTGTCCCTGCAGGCCTGGGCCCCTGCAGCTGCTAGGTTAACCAATCCTGTTGGAGACGGACAGCTTTTTTTTTAAGCAATGCCTCAGGGTATAGAGGATCTTAGTTCCCTGACTAGGGATGGAACTCGTGTCCTATGCAGTGGAAGTGCAGAGTCCTGACCCCTGAACTGCCAGGGAATTCCTCCTAGGGACAGCAGTTTTATTGGTGGACTTTAATAGGTATCCATGGAACACTGGTCAAACTTTATGTCAAGCTTCTCAGGGAGAGGGCCTGAGCTGTTAATGAGGGTGTCATGCTCCTATGGAGGGTGACCAGGCAGTGTCCATAACTGAACCATACCCTCCCAGACAACCCGCTGGGCCTTACACATTGTATCATTAAAAGCTAGTCATGTCCTTAGAGACTGAGTATAGCGTGTGTGTCCTACTGGACACACCATTAACAGGGCTGCAGAATCACATTATCGCCTACCGTCTTCACCAAATTTAGGGATCGTCTGGAACACGTGTCTTTGGAAGGAGGTATTCCTTGGAGGCCCAGGCCCTTTAAAGCATTTGTGTGCCTCAATGCTGAAATCAGGGACATAGACGCCTGTGGTCGGTCTTATTCTGCTTTATGATAGATTTTGTTACCTCCATGTTGGAAAATGGGGCTGGGGTGGTAGGCTGGGTCCCATTTTCCGCTTTCTCCTGAGTGGTAAGATCTAGGTGTGAACTGACACCCAGCATGGCCCCAGTTACGATGCTGGACAATTAGGCACAGTACTGGCCCTTCCCTGGGCCTGAGTCTCCTTCTCCACCCCCTGGGAGGAATCACAGCTTCCTCTCCACTTGCTAAAGGCCAGCCGGCGCCCCACTGACTGCTCGAGGTCTTGGGAGAGGGCAGGATGGATGCGGGAGTGCCTGCGGGAGGGGGAGGGCTTCTCAGGTGGGGTCCCCATCTCTGCCTCCAGCAGCGTCATCTCACAGAGCCCGTCTGTCCTCTGCCTCCCGCAGCCCAGGCCCCTCAGCGGGAGGGATGGAGAACTCTTCAGCAGCGTCCGCCTCCTCCGAGGCTGGGAGCAGCCGCTCCCAGGAGATCGAGGAGCTGGAGCGCTTCATTGACAGCTATGTGCTGGAGTACCAGGTGCAGGGACTGCTGGCTGACAAGACGGAGGGTGATGGCGAGAGCGAGAAGACGCAGTCCCACGTCTCCCAGGTAACACCGCCCGGGAGGGCACGGGGCTCGGCAAGCTCAGAGGGGTGCTAAGGGGCCCTCGCTCCAGGCAGCGTCATGCATCCCTAGATTGCCAAGGTGGGGGTGGCCCTCTCTGCCAGAATGTGGGATCCAGGCAGGAAGCCCCTGACTGTGCACTCCTGGCCCCTCTGACCCACCGGTACCCACTCTGACCCCACTGGGCAGCTCAGGCCCAGCAGAATCACAGTTCTTGGAACCCTCATTTATTGAGCACCTGCTGTGTGCAAGGCACTGCTCCCTGACCGCCACAAGCTCATGTTCTAACAGACATCTGATGATTGAAGCTCATCCAAAGGCACACCATCAAAAGTCTATCACTTCTGAATATGTCCTCTGATGTCGAATACAGGCAGTGGTTGGCAGCCAAAGGATCGAGTCTCTCAGGCCTCACCTAGGGCTCTATGTGCCAGACCTCGTGACGCACATGAAGCCTTCAGACCAGAATCTCGGGTCTGAAGCTCTTGAGCTTCCCTGCTTCTGGCCAGTCTGTGGCAGCCCTGGTGGAAGGTGAACTCTGCTGAAAGACTGTGGGTCAAGATTTGGAAGTTTCCAGTTCTCCAGAGTAGAATGTGAACCATTAAGGGAAGTGACCATGTCAAGTGCATCTCTGCTGAACATGATAAATCCTCAGTAGATCATTGTTCAAGAGTTGGTTCCAGATTGCTTCTAGCTGCATGTGTGACCTCAGGCAAGCAGACCCCTCAACTTCTCTGAGTCTTGTCTTTCTTACCTGGTGAATGGGGATGATCCTGCTGTCTCAGGAATGTTGAAAGTTCAGAGGTGATAAGAGGCTCAAAAACTCCAGAGGAGCAGAGTGTTGTCTGTATCTGGAGGTTCAGGAGGGTCTCTTCTGCTCAGGGTCTGAGGCCCAGCATACATCTCTTATACTTTTCCACCCTCAAGCCCAAGGCTCCTCTCACAAGTGGAAATCCTGGATGTCCTTGAAGTTCTAAGATCACAGGTAGTAGTGAGCCTGTAATCTGTTCAGTATTCACACTGCAAGTGTGTAGTGAACACCTGCTCTGCACCTGGCACTGTCCTAGGACTGTGTACCTGGGAGTGAGCAAAAGAGAGGAAAAGCTCACCCCTTGTGGCCCTTATTCCAGTGGTGGATGGCAACTGCTATAGGGAAAAATAAATCAAGAAAATGGAGTGTGAGGAGTGATGAGGGTCAGGAGGTGTTTGCAGTTGTAAATGGGATGTCAGCAAGATGTCATCAAAGGAGGTGGAGGCATAAGCATGCAGATGTCTGGTGGAGAGGCTGTCCAGACACAAAGGATGCCATGTGCAAAGGCTTGAGCTGGCAGAGTTGTTCAGCAGAGAATCAGGTGTGGCTGGAGCAGAGAGAGAGGGAGTTCAGAAGAGATGCTTGAGCGAGGAAGAGGGGTAGGGTAGATGTGCAGGGCTGAGCCTTGAGGTCTGCTGCATTTATAAAGCAGGGATGTCAGGAGAACCCAGCGAAAGAGAAGGAGGAATGGGCAATGAGGCAGGAGGGAATCCAGCTGAGAATTGGGTGCTGGAAGCCCCCCGGGAGGATGGGTTTCAAGGGTGTGTGGGGCGGGCTGACCGCTGCTGCAGGCCATGCAGGAGGAAGACTGAGTAACCCTATGGAGCCACCAGGGTAGCTGGTGACCCCAATTGGAGGGATGACGGTCCACTGGTGGGGGCAAAGGCCAAGGAGATGAATTGAACATGAGAGGTGCAGGTCCTGTGTCGCAAGAGTTTTGCTGTAAAGCGGGAAGGTGTGTGGTTCTGGGGGACTTGAGAGCAAAACCAGAGCATTCCCGACATGCTGTGTGTTGATGGGAGTGGTCCAGGGCAGAGGGGCTGGTTACTGGAGCAAGGTCTTGAGTAGATGAGAGGGCCTGGCCTTGGCTCCAGCCCCCCGGAGAGGCATGGCACTGGTCTGGCAGGTGCTTCCTGTCTCCCCCCACAGTGTGGGGGACTCCGGTGGCCTCCAGCAGATCATCCCCCGAAGTTTTCTCCAGGTGAAATGGGCTCTTCCAAGAGAGGGGTCTCAGGAAGCTGTGAAGTTTCACCCTAGGGGAGCGCTTTGTGAGTGGTGAGTGGTAGAATCTCGTTCCCATCGGGGAGAATTTGAAAGGAGGGGCCTTCCCAGTGCCTCTGCCCTCTCTGTTGGGACCAGCTGAGCTCTCAGGACACAGAGGCTCAATCTGGGCCCTGCACTCCCAGCTCCTACTCCTGGGATAGGTTGGGCCTAGCCATGCCCGGATATCCACATCTGGAGCAGCTGTTAAACAGATGTTAGATGTGAGGCAGAGTGTGGAAAACACTTGCACCATCTAGATGCATTCCTTAAACCGCCTGCATTTCCTGAGGTTTCCTGAAAGAATGCAAACACCTGGCAGGATCCTGGGACCTGCCTGTGTGCTGCTGGCCAAGGGGGTTGCATTCCAATCCTGCTCCCACCAACTACCCCCGCCCAACCCCAAACAGGTGGAGTCCAAACTCCAGGAGAGGGGGCAGCTGTGGCAACTCCAGGCAAGGCCAGGGTTAGAAGTGTCTGTATGACCACTCTTTGAAAAAAATACAGTCTCTTTATTGACACCACTTAATGGGAAATCTTTCTGCTAAAGCACTTTTGCTTGTTTTTATTTAACCTGATGACTGTTTTGAAGGGAAGCCAAACACAAAAACAAAAAACCTCAGAGAATGTCCCAGGCTGCCTGTCTGCAGTGGTGTTTTGATGTTTCTGGGAGAGAAAATTGTTAAGAATCTTGGAAACCTTGAGAAGACTTGAGGGAGTGAAGGAGAATGTTGCTTTTCAGTGGGTGAGGCCATTTTTTAGGATCTGAGAGATAAGCTGACTCTCAGGAAGGACATACCTCAGGATGCTTGTATAGTGTGTTCTCCCTGCCCCTCCCCCACCCACAACTAGAAAGGAAAATAAATGAATGAATGGATGAATGGGAGGGAGAGAAGAAGAGAGACAGGTTCCTTTTTATCCTAGATGAGTAACCCAGAGAATGTATGTTCTAAGTTTCCTGACATGTTTGGGATATCAACTTAAAATTACCCCACACGTTTTAAGAGCGCCTCCCTTCCAGTGGATTCCAAGGCTGCAAAGACACATCCTTAAATTGTACTCACTCTGTCCTTGGGAGGGAGGGAGGTGATGGCTCTATTCTGCAGAAGAGAAAAACTGAGATGCAGAGATGGGACATAGCCATACCCCACTGCTCGGTGGTGGCTGAGCTGGGCCCCAAGATCCACCCCTTTCGCACCTACTTTTGGTTCTCTGCTGGGTACAGGCTGTGACTAGCAGGCTGCCGGGAGGTTAATATACTTTTTTTCCCTGTGGAATGAGAATTGGGACTCCAAGTCTCATTGACCAATAACCTTTTGTGGAAGAGACTGGGATGTTGTAATTAGGGAAGTTTGGCACCTCTGATATCACTCGATGGTTTTATGGACCATCAGCAAGCTTTAAAGCAGTGTTCACAACTCTGACTGTTCATTGGAATTGCTCGGGAGCTTGGGCAGGTCCCACCCCAGAGTTGAGTGGAATGGGGATGGGTTCAGGCACTGACATTCTCATCAGCTCCCATGTGACTCTGACGTCCTTTTCAGGTTGATGACCACAGGTGGACTTGTCTGGCTCCCTTCCCCACCCCTCCATGGTGAACGGCCTGGAGCTCTACTCTTTCCGAAGGATAGCATGTAGGGACATTGTAAAGAATGGATACATCAGATGAAAGCAGGTTTCCCAAAAAATTCTAGTTAACAAGTCAAATGAAGAGTCAGTGAGAGTGAAGATAACTTCCTGTCGTTCTTTTTGATGCTGTCAGGCCTGTGGAAGAGACCTTACAGAGAGATGCAGAAGAGTATTCAGATTGGTGTGCAGTTGCTTTCTCGCAGTATTTTCCTTCTTTCTCTTCACATTTTTCCTTGCATTCTGCTTTTCCTGTGCTCTGTTCCTCATCCCTCTTCTTTCCCATTCCCTCATTTCCTCTTGCACTTTGAATCCTTCTTCCCTGCCACGTTTGCTCAAAAGAGGAAACGCTCAATGGTGGACCACCCACAAAAGGCTTAAGAGAAGAAGTGAGTGTAAGGGGAACTGTGGGGTGGTTGAATATGGGGAGTCATTTTATCTTTCTCCTTATTTAAAAAGATAATTTATTTTTAATTACACAATTACTGTGTGCATATATTCTCATGGTACTTAAGAATTCAAAGGCTAATTAGCTACTGCCTTATTCCACTGTCTTACCTCTATCTCCCATCAGAATGATGAGTTAACCTCCTCACCTTTTTTAATGACTTACAGAAATATATTATCTCCAAATCTTACCTCATAACTGGGGGATATGTTGTTTGAGAGCTCACCTTTTTCACCTAGCTATTTGCCCTAGTGATTCCTCCAGGCTTGTACATCGGCTGTGTTCTGTTTAATGGCTGCAAAGGAACCCATAGTATGGATGTCCCATAGTTTAACCATTCACCTATTGCTGGACATTCAGATTATTTTCAGAATTTCCCCTGGAAATACAGGATACATCAGCAAACACTTCTGAACATGTCTTTTCCTGCACATGTAAAAGTGCTTCTTTAGGTGGATGCTGAGAAATAGAATCAAATTTAATAGCTGTTGCCAAATTGCTTTCCAGAATGCCTGTTGTATTATTCACAGGACCACCAGTGGATTGGGACAAATGGTCTCTTGTCACTTTAATTTGCATTTCCTTGATTTTTAGTGAGGCTGAACCCTTTTAAATCTGATTACCAGTTGTTTTTAAAAGCAGGTTAAATTTTTATTTTACTTTTAAAGCAACAGTAGAAAAGCAGAGACAATCAGAAAACAGAAAGAAGCCCACCATAATTTTATGATAAAAACTAGTATAGTTTTTGTGTATTTTTTTTTCTCAATATACCTCTCAAGAGTTGAGCTTCTAGCATACATGTAGCTTTTAGCTTGTTTACTTAGTTAGCGTGGTCTCCTA